CAGTCAGTAAAAAAGACAAAAAAAAAAAAAAAAAGAAAAAGATCAGTAACATTAGGAAAATAAGGTTGAGAAGATCTCCCAGCAAGCGGAACAACAACAAGCAAACTAACAAATAAACAGCAAAACATGTAAAAGATGTGGACAACAGAAGGGCAGAGAAAATTCAAAGATCAATTCCAGAAATGGGCGTCTAAGCAAGGGGAGCTGTAGAAAGGAGAGAATATAGTAGGAAGAAAACTATCAAAGAAATAAAACAGAAAGACTTTCCAGAACCAACGAATATGTGTCTCTGCAGGTCCACCAGTGTCACTGCAGGTCACCGCTGTTTCAGGCACTAGGGTTTTAGTATCTGAAAATGCTTCCAGAAGTGGGGGGAAAATAGGTATATAAAGAGATTAGGAATAAGAATGACACCACACCTCTTAATAGTGACATCAGAAGCCAAAATATATATATATTTTTTTTCTCTTTTTTTCGTGACCGGCAACGGATCGCAACCCTCAGTGTCGCGCCCGTACCGGACCGGGACCGGCAACGGGATCGCAACCCTCGGTGTTGCACCTGCCCCTCGCTCAGCCAGTGAGCGGGAACCGGTCTGCATGTGGGATCCAAACCCTCGGCGGGAGCGCCACCACACTTCCCAAGCAGCACACTGTAGCAGTGCGCCACCGGGCCAGCCCCAGAAGCCACAATATAATGGTGAGATCCGTTCAAGCTTCTGGAGGAAATTTTTTTTTTTTTGTCTTTTTGAGACCGGCCGCACCACGCTCAGCCAGTGAGCGCTGTGAGTGCACCGGTCATCCCTATATAGGATCCGAATCTGCAGCGGGAGCGCTGCTGTGCTCCCAGTGCCGCACTCTCCCGAGTGCGCCACAGGCTCGGCCCAGGAAAATTATTTTTAATATAGAATTCTATATTCAGCCAAACCATCAATCAAACGAGGGGACAGAGTGAGGCATTTTCAGACATGCAAATTCTCAAGAGAATTTTTTCTCCTGTGCAATTTTACCAGGAAGCTAAACAAACAAGGCGGGGAAGCAGGAAATGAAGAGACACAGGGTCAAGGGAACAGGGGACCCAACACAGGAGAGACACAGGGGCTTACAGTCAAGTAAGGAGACAGGAGACAGGCTTCCAGGAAAAAAAAAGAACTGACAGGTGTGAGCACACTGAAAATTATGAGACCAATGGATTTATAAGAAAATTAAGGGACGAGGACAAGAATCCAAGAGAAAAAAATTATACAAAAGAAGAAACAGCATTACCCTGTTTCTCCGGCTGGTTAGCTCAGTTGGTTAGAGCATGGAGCTGATAACACCAAGGTCCAGGGTTCAATCCCTGTACCAGCCAGCTGCCAAAAAAAAGTTATTACCCTGCTTGGATGACTGGTGAACAATATTTGCATGATAATAATTATATACAACAGAGCATATGCATTGAACAAAAAGATAGAGAGGGTAAAATAATGCTCAGGAGAGTATATAAGAGCCAAATCTTCATCCACCATGACAGGCAGTAAACAGATAAGGTCTAAAAACGATTAATCAAGAGGTAGCAGTTTAAACAAATTACTCGGAAATGTAGGAAATGGTGGGGTGGTCTGCAGGGGAAGGCAGGGGCGAGACTGGTGTGTTTTGTTTTACGTTTTTAGCACTATTTGGCCTTTTTGACTATCTGCATGTATTTCTTAGATTAAGGAAAATAGTTATTAAAACATAAAGAAATACACACCGAGAAGCTCGTCCACTCGTTGCTTCCTCTGGTTCCACAGTTTTCCTGCATCCTGAGAATCCACCCACTTCACTCCCAGCCTCAGGCACCCACATATACGACCACGGGCACACTCACACCCACAGTCACACACACCCATCACAGACACTCGCGGACGGCCCACATTGACAGACTCACAGGCACACGTACGTGATACACAAAACCCCTCAGACACACGTGCAAACACACCCTCACCGACACACACACATTCCCAGAAACCCATGGTTCTAGACCCACCCACAGACACACACAGGCCTCCTTTAGCTTCCCAGAAAGCCTGTAGGGATGGCATTTCCTCCCACCTGCACCCCCTCCTCCCTGCACCCCTCCTCCCAGAACTGCCCCAGGCAGAGGAGGGTCTCTTCTGGAGTTGCATACTAATTGCTTTCTCTACTCAGCCGGCTGCAGAGTACTGGCCCTTAGGCTGAGCAGCCTGTGCCTCTGCAGCCATTAAAACTCTGCCCCCCCCCGCCCCCCCAATCTGTAGATGGAGCAGAAATGGGGTGGGGAAGGGTCCTGAGCTGGCAGTTGGAATGTGAACAATAAGGCCACCTTCAGCTTTTAGTCAAGGCCCTAGACTGGAAGAGTCCTGTGTCAGGAATGCTGTGACCAGGCTGCGCATCCTTGAGCAAACCACTTCATCTCTCTGGGTCCAGGAGAAGGTAGGCAGCCTACGAAGCTCCAAGATGCTATGATGTTACGACCTAGTCTGGGCCCTGCTTCCACCCCCTCCCCTGGGATCCTTCTCCCCACTCTGATCTTCAAGGCCAACCCCAAAGGATATGTGATTTGCATATCTGACAAGTACACATGGGGTACCTAGTGGGACCCCCCGCATCCACTCTTCCCTTCCCCTCCACCTTCCTCCAGCACTCACCACCACTCTGGTCCTGTTATCTGTCAGCGTGTCAATGGCCAGGGTGCCCCCACCCAGGTCCTGGCTCAGCTGGGTCCTGTCGGGCTCTGACACCTGCCCAAGGCTCTCTCGGGCTCTCCGGTTCCAGCCCTGTGAGGTCCCCTTGGCAGCCCAAATGGAGCCTTGGCCTGCATCGTGACCTGGGAAAAGGAGACAGAAAACTGAGTGCCGGCTGGCCAGAGTGAAAGTCCAGTGGGGGAACCAGCCCACTTATTCTGTGAGGCCCTAACACCATGCCATCACTGACTTTGGGGACACTTGCCTACCAGCACAGGAGATACCCAGCGTGTACTGAGAGCCATGCACCCTGCTCCATGCCAAGCACTTTGCACATCCAATGCTTTTAATCCTCACACCAGCCCTCCGCGGGAGGTATGATGCTCTCTATTTTGCAGACAGGAAACTTGCTCACGCACGTTAAGGAAGGTCACGCCAAGAGTTGGTTTCAAACTCACATTGATCTGCCTCCAAAGGAGTGATTATCCTCAACCTCAGCTGCATACTACAATCACCTGGGAGCTTTAAAGATCCCTGGTGTCTGGTTCCCACCCCAGAGATCCGATTTGATTTGTCTGTGGTGTGACCTGGGCTTCAGGTTTCTTAAAAGATCCCCAGGGGAGCTTTTGAGAATCCCTGGACTTAAAAGAACTCTGTAGACAAGGGTGGAACCACGGCTCCGGAACCTTCCAAGCCAGTTCCTTATTTCTCTGCCAGAAATGGCACATAATCCTATCTTCCAGGGCAGGGTGCTCAGGGGAGTGGAGGCCACACAGCAGAGTTCTTCTGGTTCAGGGATTCTCAACCTTGGTGCTACTGGCATTGTGGACTGACTGGGTAATTCTTTTTTTTATTCAATTTTTTTATTGTGGCAAAATACATGTAATATAAAATTTACCATCTTAACCATTTTTAAGTGTACAATTCAGTGCAATTAAATAAATTCATCATGTTGTATGACCATCCACCATCCATCTCTGTAACTCTTTTAATCTTGTAAAGCTGAAACTCCCTTTAAACAATAATGCCCCGTTATACCCTGTCCTCAACCCCTGACAGCCACCATTCTACTTGTCCCTATGATTTTGGCTACTCTAAGTATCTCATATAAGTGAAACCATACAGTATTTGTCTTTTTGTGGCTTTTGTGTGTGTGTGTGTGTGTGGCTTATTTCACTTAGCATAATGTCCTCAAGGTTCATCTGTGTCATAGCATGTGGCAGAATTCCCTTCCTTTTTAAGGCTGAACAATATTCCATCACATGTGCATATACCACATCTTGCTTATCCATTCATCTGTCAATGGACACTTGGGTTGCTTCCTCATTTTAGCCACTGTGGACAATGTTGCTATGAACATGGGTGTGCAAATGTCTCTTTGAATCCCTGCTTTCAATTCTTTTGGGTATATACCCAGAAGTGGATCATACGCTAATTCTATTTTTTATTTTTTGAGAAACAGCCATACTGTCTTCTATGTAAAATGGTTGTACCATTTCACACTACCACCATTTCACACTACCACCACCAGTGCACAAGGGCGTCAATCTCTCCACATCCTTGCCTACACTTGTCATTTTCTGGGTTTTTTTTCCTAGCTTTTCTAACAGGTGTGAGATGATATCTCATTGTGCCTTTAATTTGCATTTCCTTGATGTTTAGAGATGTTGAGCATTTTTTTTTCTTATGTCTATTGGCTGTTTGTATGTCTTCTTTTGAAAAATGTCTGTTCAGGTTTTTTGCCCATTTTTTAATTGGGTTATTTGTTTCTTTGTTATTGAGTGGCTTTAATTACTTATATATTTTTGCCATTAACCTCTTATCATATATAAAATTTGCAAAAATTTTCTCCCAAACAATAGGTTGTCTCTTCACTCTACATATTATTCCCTTTGATGTTTGGGAGCTTTTTAGTTTGATACAATCCCATTTATTTTTGCTTTCATTGCCTGTGCTTTGGGGGTCTTACTCAAAAAACAATTGCCTAAATCAACATCATGGAGCTTTTCCTCTATGTTTTCTTTTAGTAGTCTTATAGGTTCAGGTCTTCTATTTAAGTCTTTAATCCACTTTGATTTGACTTCTGAATGGCATAAGAAAGAGCCCAATTTTGTTTTTCTGCATGTGAATATCCAGTTTTCCCAACACTGTTTATTGAAGAAACTCTCTTTTCATCACTGTGGTGAGAGGGTAAATTAGTGCAGCCATTTTAAAAAATAAAATGAAGGTTTTTCAAAAATCTAAAAGTGCAATTACCATATGATCCAGCAATCCCACTCCTAGGTATATATCCAAAAGAACTGAGATCGGAATGTAAGAGAAATATCTGCACCGGTCTGTATGTGGGATCCGAACCCTCGGCGGGAGCGCCGCTGCACTTCCCAAGCGGTGCATTGTAGCAGTGCGCCACCGGGCCAGCCCTATTTTCTGGTTTTTTGATAGCAGCCATCCTAATGGGTATGAGGTGGTATCTTGTTCTGATTTGCATTTTCCTAATGATGAGCGATGTTGAGCATCTTTTCATGTGCTTATTGATCATTTGTATATCTTCTTTGGAGAAATATTGTTTATTTAAGTCTTTTGTCCCTTTTTGCGGGGGGGGGGGCAGTTGGCCGGCAGCAGGATCCAAACCTGTGAACTTGGTGTTATAAGGCTGTGCTCTAATGATGCCCTTTTTTTTTTTTTCCTTTTTGTCTTTTTTCATGTCCGGCAACGGATCGCAACCCTCAGTGTCGCGCCCGCACCGGACCGGGACCGGCAACGAGATCACAACCCTCAGTGTTGCACCCTCACCTCGCTCAGCCAGTGAGCGGGAACCGGTCTGTATGTTGGATCCGAACCCTCGGCGGGAGCGCCGCCACACTC